CAGCAAGTGGGGAGAGGTGAACTGGCAAGAGAGTCCCCCCAGCAGCCTCCCTTGCAGACGTCACATGGCTGCATGTGCTTCCAAACGTGACAAGGGCTTATGCTGGGGCTTTGGCGTGGGGTGGAGAAAAGGTCCAGTGCTGAGGCTTCAGTAGTGTGCCAGGGGCTTCTGTATCCTCAGCAGGGCCAGCAAGGGAAGTAGTAGGGCCATTGTGAATTGCTGGGAGGAGAGGCTCAGGACGTGTTCCTTAAGCATCATGTCAGACCCCAATGGGCCCTCTTTTTTTCCTGGGTAAGGCCCTGGGAACATAGATGGGAAGGAGGAGAGCTAGGCCCCGCTGAGACACTCTTGCCAAGCCCCTGGGTTAGAGCACAGCTGAGTTTTAAGCCCCAAGGAGATGGGTCTTTTGTAATCTGGTCCTGGCTTGCCGGGAAAGGCTATCAAGGGCCCGGGCAGGGGCTGAGGGAATTCAGTGCCTGCTAGCCTATGGGAAACCAGGAACTCCCTGACTGCCATTCCACAGGTGATTCTTGAGCACCAAGTAGGTACCAGGCACAGTGGCAGCAACTGAGGAACATCAAGATGGACAAGGGTCTTCCGCTGAGGGAGCTGATATTCTAGTGGGAGAGACAGATAATAAGCCAAAAAAGTAAAAATGTTTACAAATACCGTGAAGGAAACAAACAGGGCCCTTTGAGAGAGAAAAACAGGAAAGCGTCTTATGAGGAAGTGAAATTTAAACTGAGATGGAGCCTGCTATTTAAAGAGCCAGGGGAGGGCAGAAGAGACTGCCAGTGCAAAGGTCCTTAGGTGGGAAAGCGTGGGGCTTTGGGACAGTAACAGTGCCATTGTGACTATTGGTGGAGGGGAGAGAGGCAGCTGAGGCTGGAGAAATGGGACAGGGTGGAGCAAATATAAGGCCTGTGGGCAAGGGGTGTAGCTGGTTCCGATTTCTGGTATAAAGGATATAGAGCTTGATTTTTTTTTTTTTTTTTTTTTTTTTTTGGCAGCTGGCCAGTATGGGGATGCGCACCCTGGACCTTGGTGTTATCAGCACCATGCTATAACCAACTGAGCTAACTACCCAGCCTTGAATTTTCTTTAACTCACCAGAATTCCTATTTTGCCCCACTCGGCCAGAGTGGCAGAAACTTAATTGCAGTCAATTCAAAGTTCCACCTATTTTCCTTGGAATTACGTTTGAAATCTAGGGCACTTCCTTTCAAGATGCCAAAGCATGGGAAGGGTAGTCTGACATGGTGATCATCCAGTCACACTAGCATCCACTGAGATGTCCTCATTTTGTTCCGGTCTTCTGTCATTAGCCCACAAAAGTTGCTGCTAAGTTGCTCCTTCCTGACCAACAGACCCCTACAGGTGTAACCCATAAACCTGTCAGGTGTTCGGATTTTTGTCTGCTTTTCTCAGGCCACATTAGGCCAAATACAGCACACAGACGTTTCTCCCAAGGGTTTTGTCACTCCTCTGGTGCCCGCCCACCCCAACCCCAAGGAAAAGGAGCACAGCTCTTCTCTGCTTCTCAGTCCCTGAGACCCGGCTGATACTCCAGCTAGGCTAAGGAAAAGCTTCTCTATTCTCTGGGACTCCACCCCCACCTCCAAGTCTCAATCTCCTGGATCCCTCTACACAGTTTTCTAAATTTGTATCTGCACAGAAATTCTTTCCATTCCCCCCTGAAGGGTATGCTTCTGGAATTCAGAAGCTAAAAATGGACTGCATTCTGTTGTATCATTCATTTCCTGAAGTAAGAAATGCAGAATTACCCATCTGCATAAGGGAAGGACCAAGGGACACCAAGAAAAAGATGAAATGTATTTTTAAATGTTAGTGTCCCATCAGAGTCTGGCTGTGTGCTACTTATCGCTGTGGCCTGTGTTCAGGCACACATATCCTTGCTTCCTGCAGCTTCAGCCCTTGTGGGGGTCGCAGCTGATGACATGACCCCCAGGAGTTCTGACTGCTCATGTAGCACAGAGTGTCCCCTCCCCTCCCATTCCTGCAGAGAAGAGTATAGGGGTCTCTCTCATTTGGGGGAAGGGGACTACCAGGGCTCTGAGGAAACCTGGGTGAGCATATAGCTTGAAGTTCAGACTTCCCCACACAAGTGACACAGCATGTCTACCTCCCGCATGGCAGAGAGTATCCAGTTCGGCATCCCTGGCTAGAGGGTTCCCAAGGACAGTTGGGGTTCTTTAAGTTCTCATTTCCAGAAGGACCCAGAGAAACAGCACAAAGTATGTGAAGAGTGACCAAACTGGCTCAGTCTCTGCTTTGGGGTGGAATTACACCAACAGCATGGTGGTCACACCGGCCTGCTTCTCCTGATCACAAGCTCTAGTGGCTATAATACAAGGTTGTCATCAATAAAAAGGAAGAAATGACTTGATGCAGGTTGTAGGGGAGACAATTTACCAAATTCCTCATGTGGAGGAAAAGTACTAAAAAAGGCTTTGGAGGTGGACACGATGGGAACCACTGATCCAGTTCAGCTCTGTCATTTTACATTTGAGGAAACTGAGGCCCTGAGAGGAAAAGGGGCTCTCCCAGGTCCCATGGTTAAGTTAGAGGCAGAGTGCCAAGATCGGCATCATAATGCCCGTCAAAAATAGCTACTGCTGTGGAATCTCGCTATGTGCCATGCCCTGTGCTAGGGACTCATGAGGGCAAAGCTGGATCTCCAGCATCTAGCTGAATGGTCTGCACATAGCAGGGACTCCATCAATTTTTGTGGAATGAAAGTAATCTTATTGCATCATTTTAACAACCCTATATGTTAACAGCCCCATTTGACAGCTGAGCAAACAGGCTCAGAGACGTTCAGTAACCTGCTTAAAGTGAACAACAGTGGAGATTTAACTCACATCTGTATGACTCCAGACTCCATGGTCTTAACTACTGTACTATACTATTCGGTTTGCCAGCTCCCTGACATCATACTGATGCCTCTGCTCACCTCAGAGGTGGGACCCAGCCACAGAGTGTGGGTCTGACACTTAAAATTTGCATACCCAGACTTTGGGGCTTGGCCACAGAAGCCAGAAGCCTTAGGAAGCCCCTGGGGGTTGAAGGTCTCCTCCCCCTCTTCTGTGATAGGCAGATCTGCCTAGACCTCATCGAGCAACTATCTCGTGCTGTTGTGACAGGCGTCACTTTGTTATGGCAGCACCATCTGCCAGTAAGCCCAGAGTTGGAGAGCCAGCAGGAGAGTATGTCACCGTGAGTGTATCACTCAGAGGTATCTTCATGGTGTCCTGATGACAGTGTTTCATTTCCTCTGGCTGGCACCTTTCCTTTCTGTTCATTACATCTTCTCCTCCCCTCTTTCTCTTCCTCCTCCTCCTCCTCTTTGTTAAAATCCTATATTTTGAATCAGCTGAGAGTCTCCTGGGGGTGGGGATGGTGGTGTCAGCGCCGAATGATTCATCTAGCTGATAATTAGAGCTCTGGAAAACCCAAAACTTATTCTTGTCAGAGTCAGGGCTTCCGGAATCCCTAGGCTTTTCCCTTTGTCAGAGAGAGGAGCTTAGTGGGCTGGGGCCTGGCTTCTTCATGCCTGTCTTTTGGTCATCCCCCTCACTGCAGTTCTGCAACTGAGGTGAGTGTGAACACTTGCTGGGTCCTGTGAGAAGCTGTTTCCATAACTCATTGGGTCCTCACAGTGATCCCGTGAAGTGTTACCCCTATTCAGACAGGGAAGATTAGGAAGCTTGCACATTAGGCCGGCCCGTGGCTCACTCGGTAGAGTGCGGTGCTGATAACACCAAGGCCACGGGTTCGGATCCTATATAGGGATGGCCGGTTTGCTCACTAGCTGAGCGTGGTGCTGACAACACCAAGCCAAGGGTTGAGATCCCCTTACCGGTCATCTTTTAAAAAAAAAAAAAAAAAGAAGCTTGCACATAGTCACCCAACTTCTAAGTGACACACCGCAGGGGTTCAACTCCGACCTTTTTGGAATCACCAGACTTGGTTCAAATCACAGCACCGCCATTACTAGCTGTGTGTCTTTGGACAGGTTACTTCCCTTCTCTGAGCTCTAGCTTCCTCATTTGGAAACAGACACCCAATGCTGATGTCTCTAAAGTGCTTAACACAGTGTGTGGCACAACAGTGAGAGCTGTTCTTACTGCTACCGTTATTCAGCCCTATCAGCAGCTCAGTGGACACCAAGCATTCAGAGAGACAAAGAAAGACACAGGCGGAGGCAGGCAGACATCACGCATACCCACTCTCATATCCTGGCACTGCCTGTGTGAAGATGACAAATGCACATACACATAAGTGCCTGGCCACACACCCTAGGAAAACCCAGCAGTGCACACAGACTTGGACACGTGTGCCCACACGTGGACCCAGATGACGGCTGAAAAGACAGCAGTCATAAGCAGCAAGCACCCTGGCTCACACCTATGAGACAAAGGAGTGGGTCTGTGGCTGCTGGTGTTGCTGCCACTGAGCCATTCTAGCTGTTTCTGCATGCCAGGGGAGGGAAGCCAGGCTCTCACAGGGCCCGTGAGTCACAGGCCTGATGCAATCCCTTTAAAAGGCTCATCTGCTGGTGCAAGAAGCTGATTCACGGAGGGCGTGGTTGCTGGAAGAGGAGGAGAAAGGGACCGAAACTGCAGCAGGAGGGACTGAGGTTAGATGCTGGAATCGTTAATAGGAACTCTTAACTGTAGACCTCCCTGGTAAACTCCAGGGATCTCCAGGTTGAAGCTGGCCATCTTCGGAATTTGTATAAAGGCGAGGGGCCTAGAAGCAAATGAATTGTGAGCGCTGCGGCAGGAATTCCTGTTTTTCATTGAGCTTCACTGCAGCACTTTCCGCACAGAGTTCCAGGATCCGGGAAATGGGGATCGAGGAAGAGTCCTATTTCTGATAAATGCACTACAATTGGCCGACCTTCCAACTGCCGGAGACTTCCCCCAGCCGGGCACGGAGAGAGTAGGGCACGCGAGGTTCTGTGGTGTCAGGGCGGGGCGGGGCCTCCGCCCAGCCTCGCCGCACACACAGATAAGCGGTAAGTACCGCCCCCTTACCGTCTCAGCTTCCAATCGTTTCACAGGCTTCGGCCCGGGCCCCACCCTGAACCAATCCTCAATCTGGCTCTGGCCCTTTGCCTGAAGGCTTCCGCCCATTGTCAAGATGGCGCCCCAATCCGTGGGCGTGGGGCTGTGGACCCGGGCGAGGGGCGGGCCGGGGCAGGGGCGGGGCTGCGGCCCTGGCCAGGGAGGGGGCGGTGCGTCACTTCCGTTGTCAGGTGGCGGCGCCGCAGCCATGGAGGGAGGCGGCGGCGGCTCGGGTAGCTGCGCTGGGAGGCGGCGGTGAGCGGCTCCCACGCCCCCGGCCCGGCCGCGGCCCCCGGGACGGAGCGCCGAGCAACCGCGGCTCCGGGCTACAGACTATGGGCGAGCAGCGCTGACGACCCGGGGAAGGTGAGGGCGGGGGTCCCGGAGCGGTGAGCCGGGAAGGGGTTGCGTGCTGGCGGAGCGGGCCTCAGTGGCTGTGGCGGTGGGACCGGGGTGACAGCCCGAGGCCATGCGGCGGCGACAGAAATAGCAACAGCTAATGCCCTCTCCTGTGCTGGGGGGTCTACCTTTCTCAGGCGGCGGGGGCTGCTGCGCGCCGGGTCCGGGGCGGCCGCGGGAAGCCTCAGTCCCCGCCGCAGCCCTGGGAAGTGGGCACTGGCAGTCTTGCCCAAAGTCACTCAGCAGTAAGTGGAGCAGCTGGCGTTTGAACCTAGCCAGGTTTTTCCAGAGATACCTTCTGCCTCTCCATGCTTCCCTCCTGACCCGGAGGGTGACTTGAAAGTTAGAACGGGTCCCCAGGGAGAGCCAGCCAGGGCTGCCTGCAGGAGAACTCACCCATTGGCACGGGCACCATAGCTGCTGGGGAATTTTCGCATCCCGGGCGGCGTTCAGGTGCGAGTCAGAGCTACCTGCTTGCCAGGGCTACGTTTGGCCAGCCTTTTTCAGGGAAAGAGCTTGCTGCGGTCAGTGTTTCACCTGCCCTGCCGGGTCAGGCCCGCCCGTTCCCACGCCACTTGGCCCCACCTTCCAGCAGGAGCATTCGGATTCCAGATGCCGCGTTCTTTGCCCACCTCCACTCCCCAGGCTTGATGCCCTTTTGTTGGCGGAAGGAAGAGATGACAACCACTTTCTGTGGCTGGATAGACTTTGCTCTGTTTTAAGACACTGGAGGAAACCGGTTGGCTTTGCTTGGTATTGAGAACCAGTGGGAAAGAGGGTAGTCATGAGATGGTAGTCATGCTGGGCTGGGCGCCTTTCCCTTTTGGCTGAGTAGTTTTGCATGAGATAAGGAAGAGCCAAATGTGTAATTGTAGAGCCAAAAGAATCTTTGTTTGTAAACAGTGCTTGAGAGCTCCTCCAGTGCTCCTTAATGGCCCTCATGTGCCAACTCGTTAGATCTAGACAAACCCAAGGTAGCCCTCATTCATTCATTCATCACTTGACAACAACAGGTTCCTTGCCTGGAGAGGCAAATGCTACATAGTATAGTGGTTAAGCGTGGGTGTTGGAGCCAGACTTCCTGAGTTCAAATTCTGGCTCAGCAGCTTTCTAGCTGTGTGACCTTGGGCACATTGCTTAACCTCTCTGTGCCTCAGTGGTCTCATCTGTAAAACAGAGGTAATAACACAGAGTTGTTATGAAGATTTTAAAAACTAGCACATATAAAACACATAGAACCTTGTCTGGCACATAATAAGAGTTCAGTAAATGTTAGGTATTCTTATTTCAAGGAGTTCATGGTTCAGTTAAGGGAGACTGACCTGTAAACAAATAGTCGAAATGTGATCTAAAAAAGCTAGTAGCAGCAGGAACAGAGTGCTGGGAGAGCCCAGCAGAGGAAGCTGCTAAGTCAGCCTATGGTGTGGAGTGGGGGTGGGGGGTGCACTGGAAAGGCTTAGCAGAAATGATGCTGGAGCTGAGTCTAGAAGAAAAGGAGGGGGAGGCTTAGCCAGGTGGATATGAAGGGGAAGTTCTACTTAGAGAGAGGGAAAGACAAATAAACTCATACTTTATTCCAGAAGCCTCAGGTTGTTCAATATAGTGGTATGGAAGTTGACATGGTGCAAGGTGAAGTAGTATAGGTTGCCAAGAGAATGCTGCTTTGATGATTTAGGACTTTATGACCAAGGCAGTGGAGAGCCAGTGAAAAGGTTTTAAGCAGAGGAGTGACATGATTGGATTCATGTTTTAGAAAGATCTCCCTGGAGTCTCAGTAGAGGAGGCAGGAAGAGAAGAAGAGAAACTAAAGGGCTGGAGACCTTTTCAGAGATCACTGCAATCTTCTGAGGGAGGAAAGTTGGTGCTGGGGTGGTGCGTCTTTGCCGAGAAAGCACTGTGCGCACCCGGTGCCAGGTGGCAAGCTCTCTGCATTGGCCTGGGCTTCAGTGCCTGGCACATGTGCCCTCTCTTCCTGGGATTGTAGGTCACTTGAGCAACTGGGGAGATGAGGCTGCCCTCTCAGAAGGCCAGTTGTAAGGAGTGCTGCATTTGCTTGCTTGTGCTTTTAATCCGACCTTTGGAGAAGGCAGTAGGTTGTAGTGGTTAAGAGCTTACTTGGCTCTGCCATCAGACAGATGTGGGTTCTAATCCCAGCCCTGCTGGTCACTAGGAGTTACTTATTCTCTCCATGCCCAGCTTTCTCATCTGTAAAATGGGACAATAAGAGTACCTCCCTAGTAGGGCAGTTGTGAGGATTAAGTAAGATGCTGCAGGTTGAGAACTTAGCACACACCGAGTAGTAAGTGTTTGGTACACGTTAGCTGTTATTATAGGCTGCAGGAATGAACTTCCAGGAATTAGTTGAAGCAATTTGTGGCGACTAGAACTGTGTCCCACTGAGCTGTCAGAAGTGTCCTAGGGGATCACAAGATTATGGAATTTTATTGTATTCTTTCTGAGAAGGAAATCTATGGGGAGTTTACCCAGTCTGTATGGGAGCCATGCAGACGATTCAGCTCAGCTCTTTAAAAGAACCATTTTTAAAACTAGAAATAAGGGCCGGCCCGGTGGCGCACTGGAGAGTGTGCCGATTGGGAGCGTGGTGGCCCTCCCACCGAGGGTTCGGATCCCATGTGGAGACCAGTTCCCGCTCACTGGCTGAGCGCGGTGTGGGCGCAACACCGAGGGTTGCGATCCCGTTACCGGTCAGTAAAAAAGATAAAAAGGAAAAAAAAAAAATAGAAATAAGACTGCTGAGAAAAAAATAGTATTTTAAAGCATACATGGGAGAATATGTATTTTGAGTTTCTTCCAGGTATGTCCCAACGAGTGATCCTAATCTCGTGCCTGGACTGGCATCATCGGGAAGCATCACACACATTGCATGTGGTGGCTCAAAATATTGAACCCCGGGTTGGCCAGTTGGCTCAGTTGTTTAGAATGTTGTGTTATAACACTAAGGTAAGGGGTTCAGAGCCACATACCAGCCAGTCTTCCACAAACAAAAAAAAAAAATGAAGAACATATAGAACCCCAGTTCCACAAATATGAGCTTCCATATGTGGCTGGGGGTGTGCTGGTTACTGGGGGAAGGAGAAGGATGGAGGGGCAAGCACTGCCCTGGAGGAGGTTGTCTTCTAGCAGGGACAGAGAGGGACAGGGGTGGTCTCCTAACCAATCAACATTTGCACAGAGCTTGGCAAGTGTCTCTCAGAAGTCTGTGCAGCATATGGCGGGAACCACGCAGAAAGAATGATTCACCTTGGGGATGAGGAGGAGATTGGGGAGAACTTTGGAGAGCCCTTAGAACTTGAACTGGATCTTAAAGAGTGAATTGAGTTTTCTGGGGGTCCCTGAATCACTCCAGGCAGGGGGAAGAGCATGGCACAGGCATGGATATCTGCTGGTGCATGTGGCACTTAAGGAACCACAAGGGGTTTTAGCACAGGGTGTGAAAGGGACCTGGCTACAGAGGTAGGCAGGCACCAGTGCTAAGGTGCTTGAGCTTTGTATTCTGTCGGTGATGGATGCCTTGTTCAAGTGAAGGAAACACGCCATTAGACCTGCATCTTCCAAAGAGCCCTCTGGCTGTGGATTGGGGAGAGAGTGAGTCTGGAGTCCCCGTAGGAGGCTGTTGCGGTAATCACAGCAAGGGCTGATGGGGTTTGGATCAGGACAGAGGCAGTGGGATGGAGAGGAAGGGCAAGATCAGAGCTGTTTTGTGGAAATAAACTGGACTCTTGGAGTGTTTAGAAGTGACAGTTGAGGGAGGAGGAATGGTAGCAGTTGACCCTGAGGTTATTGGTTTGGGTGACAGAGTGAGTGATAGTGCAGAGATAGGGATGGCTCAAGGAGAAGATAATGGCCAGTGAAATCTGCCAGCTCCATCCAGGAAGCCCTGAGCTCACCCTCATGGGAGAGGATCAATTACAAAGTCTTGTAGAACTGTGTCCTGCTTTGGGCCAGGCTTCCCTCCGGTGTTGCCTGAGTCAGCACCTGGGAGGAGGGCAACTTCTTTTCCTGCCCCTTCCCTCTGCCTCAGGTTTGATTAGGGAGGTGAACTTCAAGTTTCAGAAACTTCTGTTGCTGAGTCTGCAAAACTCCTATAATTTCTACAGCTTTGAAATGCTCCTCACGGGGACTGGCTGGTTAGCTCTGTTGGTTAGAGAGAAGCTTTATAACACCAAGGTCACAGGTTCGGACCCCTGTGCTGGCCAGCTGCCAAAAAAAAAAAAAATGGTCCTAAGAGTAGCCCTTCCATCTGGTGATATACACCCTGATTTAGCAAGCTACAGCCAACCAATGGGTTGCTAAACACAGTGGACCCTCAGGGGACAGGCAGCTTTCTCAGCACTCCTGGAGATCTTATCTAGAGAGAGACCTTGAAATTGAATTTACTCTCTGATGCTGGGTCAGCAGATTGAGCCCCTCTTCTCACCTAGGACTCACTCAGAACCATCAGAGAAGTAAGAGGAAGCTGCCCCAGTGCCTTTGAACCCTGAATTCTCAGGGAGCCATGAACCATCCCTAAATTGGATTGGGCTATGGAGAG